ACCTGAAAAGCCATTGCTGCTTCAGCTTTTCCTTTAAAAAGGAATTCTAGCTCAGCAAGGTGTACTCTGTGGATGTTATCCCTCTCCACTGCAAATCTTTGTTGCTCCTCTTGAAACTGCCACTGATCACTTTGAACTCTTTTCTCAGTCCCTGATGCTTTCTGCTGATGGTTGTCATTCATTACGGTTGTTTACAAAAAAAAAAAAAAAGAGAAAGAAAAAAATAAGCATGTCCAGAAAAAAAAGGTATAATGAACATAAGTTCCTCTGTGTATTGTGGTATCCTGTGAAACACTGGAATGGTAAGACTTCCAGTTTCACTACAGAGAAACAATCACATTTTGTGTTCCTGTAGCATCTTTCACACAAGGACATAGAATTGCTTTGGAGATTTCTCAAAAGCATTGAAAAAATTAGATTTCAAAAAATTAGATTTCAAATTTAAGCTCTTCTCCCTTTGGAAAGGAATAAAAATTCAACTCTTTCAAGTGAGGCCTCTATAGCATAGGGAACTTAATTACATTTTCCTGTAACACTTGGGTAGCTTATTGCCAAATATTTATGAGATATTTCAGTCTGTATCAATTAATTTCAAGCTCAGTTTAAGTAACAATAGAGACAGACACCTGCCACATGAAAATGATTCTAGGAGAACCTTAGGCAGGTTGGGCTAATGAGCAAAGGCTTAGCTTTTCTGGGGAAATTTACTGCTGCTCAAGAGATTTAAATCTTCAGCCCAATGGCTGCTCCAAGATAGGGAAATACTGGATCTACTTCCCTGTGAAAGCTTAAATGCCAAGGAAGAGTTCTTTTCTAAAAGCAGTTTCACTAGGAACTTTGCTTCATTTCACAAACTCAGTCAAAATATTTTGTAGTATTTTTTTATGTTACTGAGTACAACTAGCTATGTTGGCATTTATGTGATCACCACTTTCTAAGAGATTTTTACTTCAAATTCATCCTACTTTTCTGCAATTCCTTCCTAGATGGAGAAGGGTGAGAAAACCAGAAGAGACATGTTGGGAAATCACAGAGAATTTGTGGACACAATGATGGAATAGACCTGTCAGATGTCAGGAAGTCAAACCTCAAGAAGAGCAGCAGAAAAATATCTTGGAGAAAATACTAATGAAAGGGCACAAGTGAGGTGCTCTGTCCAAGAAGTTAAGTTGAGGTTGTATCAAAAACACCACATGAGGTGAGCAAGGCTCCAAGGGATAGGGAAGAAGAAGCAGTAAGTTAAAAACTGAAAAAGAAATGAGAAGAAGACTACAACTATTTGGCTTCTTTGACATTTGTCACAATCAAAACCAAACCAGGGAAAAACAAAACAACAAAGAATAAAACAAACAAAAAAAGCCAACCAAAAAAAAACAGCTTGAGAAATTTAAAGCAACCAAGATTTCTGTAATTTGTGTGTTCTCCAAATGACTGAAAGTGCAGAATTCGTATTATCTTTTTTTAAAAATATGGCAGTTTAAATGCATTTTCAAGTTTCAGAGTCTCCTTCCACCCTTGTAAGGTTACAAACTCCAGGAGTCCTCCAGTCTTTTCAGTGAACACCAAAACCACATTTCCTGTACTGAATTAAACAGTATTATATTTACTTAGGAAACAAAAGAAAAAAAAAAAAAAAACAAACTCCCCAGCTTTTAAGAGTGAGAAATCTCTCTCTGTTTGAGAAGGATTAAGAAAATTTGAGTTTGTGAATGCAAAACTACTAGGGGAAAAATATGTAGGTAAAACCCTTCCTTTCCACATACTACTGTCATAACCCATGTTATTTGTATAAAAACAAACCCAAAGATGACATGAAGAGGCCAGATATGAGCAACAAAAAGCCAGAAATATCTGAAAAGGTGAAAGAGAAAAGCAGCATGATGAGAACTCCTGGGGGAAAAGAAAAAGTTTTTGGAAAGAGCATAAACAAATAAACAGGATTTGATTTTAGTTTTTCCCCCCTGAAAATAAAAAGGAAGAATGGCTGGATATAGTGATAAGCAGGAAGTGGAGAGGAACTCCTTAATTACAATTCTGTACCCACTGAAGGAAGGAATAACAGAAGGTAAGGAGCAAGAGAAAAAAAAAAAAAAGGTATTGATAGGTTTAGCAGGTTATATTTAATTGGTACGAGACAGCAAGGGTTTTGCAAACTCTTATGAGCTTATAGAAGCAGATGAGTAAGACATGGGCAAATAAGAAAATAAGAGACTTTCAAAAAACACTGTCACTGTAAAACCTTGTGCAATCTCTGCTTTTTTAATGACTTGGGACTGATGTATCCTCTGGCTTGTGTTTGTTTTTTTTTTTTTTTGAAGATTACGTTGAAGTTCCATAACTTTGGTTTTTGCATCACACAGTTCATGCTCTGCAGAATACAGCTGTAAATTAGCTTCTTTTCTAGCAAATGTCATTTCAATCTCCAGATGTTGACAAAGAGCATCTCCTTTCTCAAGTTCCAACCTTAATTGCATTATTTCTTTTTCCTAGCGAGACATCTAGAAAATAAATATTTCAGGAACTGCATTCATAGCTGCCATCTTATCCCATCTGATTTTGAAATACAGTCTTGAAACCACCCATTTTAGATACTTTTATTTTTGTTATGCAAACTGATCCTGTTCCTAGATCATTTTCATGTACCTTAAATGTACCCCTCTGTTTTTCCAAACATGCTCTGCTTTAAGAAAATAAAAGCTACAATTATATTCCACAGGCAATTTTATGGTAGCTGTTTTTAGCAACCAGAAAAGCAGTTGAGTTGGGATTCTAGATTATCAGACCCCTAGGAACTCACTGTGTAAACACAAACTTCAGTCCAATGATGTTCAGCAGTCAAGCAGAATGCTATTAAACACAACAAACAAAACAAAGAAACGGAAGAAAGTGTTTTTAGGAGGCTCTTGGCCACCAAACGAGAGTTTGAGCAATGGGATTATTTCCCAAATGACTGTGTCAGGAACTGGAGTCGTGTCCCAGGCCCTGCCATATTTGATCCATGTTTGAGCAGGTTGACAAGACAATGAAGAAAAGTGTCTTGTTTAACAGGTGGGACCTTGATCCTTGAAAGAGAAACAATCTATTGGTCAATCAGTGAGCAGTCAAGCTTTGAAAGGGGAACAGTGCATAATGGAGCCCTTGGTGGCAGGGAGTCATGGAGTCATCCTGAGCCATCATCTCACAGTCAGCCATGTGTGAGCTGATGCTGTAACTGGGAAAATGGCACTCCTGAGCAGGAGATACAAGGCCTGGTTCTGAGCTGGAAGGGTGAGAAGGATGAGATGCACACTGTTTTGATCCAGGGCATGTCCTGGAAGTGCACTGCCTACCTGCCCCTGCTGCCGAGCACCACGCTCCATATCTCCTTCTTCTGCTCAGTGGATTTTTGGGAATCCAGGGGTCAGAATGTATTATTTGCTACTGCAATTAATGGAATAAATTTGCTTTGCGAGCTCAGTTGTGTCCTAGGTTCTTTTGTGCATGGGTCTCCTCCTGAACCTGTGGCAGCGACCACCAGGGACCTACAGGACACTCCTACCCTGATGCCAATAAATTCTGAGAAGTGATTGAAATATGTCAAGAAATCTGGGGTAATGTTTAGCCTGTGAGTTTCAGCAAAGTATTGAACATGTCTTAGTTCCATGCATACAAACTGGTAGGTGGGATTGCTGGCTGTGCAGGCCTTAGGGAAGTGATTCCCTATGCACCCAGCACTGAAATAAAGTGATGCCTCCTTTCTAAGGCTCAGCTGGCAGCAGGGATCAGGCCCCACTTGGTAACTTTCATTTTGGCAACTTCTGTTAGCAGGTAAGAAAGGTCAAAATGAAAGCTTTTCCAGCTGTTTTCCTCTGGTTGACCTTTTCAGGCACCAAAGCTCTGTGCCACATGTGGCCTGGGTGTGTGCAGAGAAATGCAGCCCCCACAAAGCCCTTGGTTTCCCCACAAGTTGCCAGGTTGACTGCTTCCCAAGGGGAAGAAAGGCAGAGATGTACATCCACAGGAGTCCTGGCCATGTCCAATAAATGTGCAAACATGTGGGGGGATATGTTAGGAATGATTTCAGCTGTGATGCCAACAGTGCCTTCTCTCCTGGTTCTGTGCATTATAGGTGAGTAATGTAGTAGTTGGCTCTCACAATAAGGAGATAGCTATTATGTGGACAGATATTATGTTCAAATGGAAAGTGCTGTTATTGTAATATGTCCTCCCATAGTCCTCTTTCTTATCCCCCTTGTAATAGCCTTGGTAGTCAGGGCATTTGGGGAGGGCTGGCTTGTGACCAGCAGGAGGGGTGGAACAACCCCTGACCTCCAATCAAGGTGCAAGAAAGTAATCTCCACCAATGGACAGCACAGAAAGAGTTGACTGACAAAACTTTTGCAGGGGCTAAGGGTATAGAAAGCAAAGCATCCCTTTTGTAGATGAGCATGTGGCTGCTAATCATGGAGACTCCCAGTGCTGCAATCTTTCCTTATTCAGTCCTTTGTTAAGGTTTAATAAACCTTTAAAAAATTAAAAGAAGGGTCGTTTCTCAGATGGGCAATGCTTTGTGCCATTTTCTTGGTGTGATTTCCTTTGCTTGGGTCCCATTTGAGTGCTCAGTTGGGGTACAGGCTGTAGGTGTTTGGGGCACTCTTGGATCCCTTGAACAACAGGCTTTGGCCCACAAGGGGAATTTGTGCTACTTTGTGACAGAGGAGAACTTCCCAGGCTCTTTTGTGTTTGCTGTAGGGAAGGTTGGTTAGTGCTTGGCAAAAACTCACAGAGCAACATGGAGCGTTTGCTTTGTGATGTCAGGGCATGGTTGCCACATTGTCGTGGTGACATCAGAAGGGTGCCTTGGTGCACGGAAGGCCTGAGTGTCAGAGCAGCCCTAGCGCTTGCTCAGTTCAGGAGAATCCTCCTGGGCAAGGCTTTTGTTAGTGGCCTCTTGCACACTGACAGGAGCCTCGTTTTTTCTACTGTGAGCGCAGCCTGCAGACTTGCAGGCCACTATCACAATGATTGAGCGACTGGCACCTGTCCTTTTCGCCGCATATGGCGTTACATATGGTGCCTATTTCCTTACACACTTCGCACGTAAGTAGATGTTTCCTCTTCTGCTTAGGTTAGGGTGTAACCTAACCTGGCTTTTGTATGTCTTCCTGCTCTTTCTTAGTGACTGAGTTTCTACTTTTGAAACAGAAAGAGCATTAGGATGCCACTGCTTTGGTCAAGCTCCTGTCAAGGTGTTCAGCTAAAAAGGGGGTGTCTGTAGCCACAGGGGCAGCATTTGCAAGGCAACCTGCAGGGCTTCTGTTCCCTCCACGGGAGAGTCTGTGGCAGCAGAGTCTGTCATTTCCTCAATTTGCTGGGACAAGCAAAACACCTTGGAAAATGTAGACTGGCAGACCTTCACGGAATGCCTTCTAAAAACTCTGCAGTTGTTCCCAGAATTCAGGGAAAGCTTCTTTCTTCCAAAATTTTGTCATGAAGGGATTTGACTGTCTAACTTGATCCTTTAGTGAGTGCTAAAATAGAGATTCCCTTTGCAATGAAATGCAAACTCCAAAGCACTGAGTGTCTGCTCCAGAACCCTGGAGGTACTGTTGTGCTGTTTCACAACAGAACTAGTGCAGCTCAGGGGGATTTTGGGGAAACTTTTCTGGGCAACAGTTTCCAGCAAGTTAATGAGAATTGGTGCATGCAACTGACTTTTTAAAAAAAAAAAGTACTCGAGGGAGAGATGAAAAAAGCTGTTTTATGTATATGGTAGAAGAGGAACAGCAAGTGTTCAAGAACAATTTGAATTTTCTTCATCATGTTTGTAGTCATTTACTTACAAAACAGGCACAAGTGTAGGCACAAGCAAGAATACGGTCCTGATCTATTCCTTGCTGTGTGAATGAAACCTGTCTCCTGGAGGGATGTTGTGAAATGGGGAATCATCTGTGTTTGGGTTGACTTGTTCTGTGGGTTTCACAAGCCCAAGGAGTTTTCTCAAAGTATCTGGTTCATTTTCCATTGCCCACTACAGGTCACCTGAAGCGTGTATTCAGTGGAGCTGATCCTGAGGTGAGTGAGATTTCATGTTCCTGGTGTTGAGAAATTATGGACCCAGCTGTCAGCTTGGCCAGTAGCAGTAGAGTGTAGAGGGAGGCCAAAAGAAAATCCATTTTCATGCTTTCAAAAAAAAAACATAGGGTATAAGTGGATAGTTCCTACTTTCCATCTCAGAGCCCTGAAGAAATATAAACTCAGTTTGACAGGTAGAATGTCACTTCCTGACAGCACCTAGAGGGGAATACTGAACTAAGAGCAATTTCCTATAGAGTAGAATTACCCAATTTCAAATTAGTCAGAGTGACTGAGAATTCTACTCTGATAAATTTAATGCTATCTCCTTAGAAGATGCAGCTGTAGAAAAAGAAGGACATCTTGCAATGGTGCCTGCTGTATCTGAAGTAATTTAGGAAACTTTGTGGCTGGGGAGCTGCGTGGGCCAAAAGGCGCCAGGGCTGCTGCTGGCCTTGAGCCACTGAAGATGAGGCAGCGTGTGGCCAGGTGGCCAAGAAGGCCCAGGGCATGGTGGCCTGTGTCAGCAGCAGTGGGGCAGCAGGAGCAGGGCAGTGAGCGTGGCCCTGTGCTGGGCAGCGCTGCGGCCACAGCTGCAGTGCTGGGTGCACTTGTGGGCCCCTGGGCAGCAGAAAGTCCTTGAGGGGCTGCAGCGTGTGCACAGAAGGACAGGGGAGCTGGGCAAGGGGGTGCAGCACAAGGCCAGTGAGGAGGTGCTGAGAGAGCTTTAGCCTGGACAATGGGAGGCTCTTGAGGGACCTCCAGGCAGACTTCCATCGATCCCTACATGACCGTGCTCAGCACAAAGGCTGTTTCTCTGCCAAACATCCCCTCACTGCATGCAAGGGCTTTAGACACTGGAGTGGGTGACACTTGCATCTTGTGGTTTGTTGACTCCTTGGTTGGCTAGGAGGAGAAGGCCTGTTCATTTTCTCTTTTTCTAGCCATCAAAGATGCTTCTGCACAACATTTCCTGCTTTTTCCTGCCCTGGATGGGATTGTGATCCAGTTTTAGTTTTCCACGTCTGCAGCAGCAGTAGCAAAGGCATCGCTGTCGCCTTCCTAGTTTTCCATTTCAGTGCTTTCAAGAACTAAAACCTCCATTTTTTCGAGACAATTTGCTTGCTGATAGCAGCCAGGGAGGAGAACCAATTTCATATCCATCTAGAGTGGCGTTGAATTGGCCCATGTTAATTTGGTAGCTGTGACTTAGAATCCCTCTGTCCCTATGAGATGTTATGATTTTTCCTTAGAAGATGTGGTGGTAGATGTTAAAAGAAATGGGGTTCAACATGATAGGTACCGACTTGTCCCTCATGCTCCTCTCTTGCCACAGATGACAGAAGCAAGAGCCGCCTCTCCGCTGGCCCCCGCTGCTCCTGGAGAAGAAGCCAAAGAGGAGCAAACTGAGGTGGATGAGCGCCAGCCTCCATCAGTGGTCAGACCACCATATTCTCAACGTGTAAGTGCCAGTTGTGTGTGGTGCTGTCTTTAGTGCAAGGCAGAGCTGCAAGGTTTGGAGCAGCCAGCACTTTGCTGTTGCTGGCTGAGGATGCTGGGTGCTGGAGTCCTGCCAGGAGCTGGGGATTTCCTCCAGGCAGCGACTGCAGAACTTGGCCTTTGAGCTGTCATGTTGAGGCAGCAAAGGGCTGGTGCCTCTGGGAGAGCATCTGGCTGCTTGGCTCAGGGAAGCTCTATCGCTTGGCTTCTGCAATGCTATGGCCAAGGGCAAAGGAGGGAGTGCTGGAGGTGCCAGGCCTTGGTTTGTTTGTTTTCCCTTTCTGGAAAGGTGTGCTTGTCTTGTGAAAGTGGTCTGCAATTTCTTTGAGTAGTTCTTCACTTGTACAGTCTCTTTTGGGCCAGCTGTCTTTTGGCTTTTGATAAGCTGCAAGGGGAGGATTGTGTGGTCCATGCAGCTGTGGGGAGCCATTCTTGTCCCGCGTGGCCAAAGAAACAAAGTGCGGAGTCGCGAAGCTTTCTTGCGAGGCCAAAAGCAGAAGCGGCCAGTTTCTGTTGATGCATAGTTTGGTGCAGTCTGCAGCTTTGGCAAGTGCCTCTGAGCCTGCAGTGGGGGTGAAGCTGCAAGTCCTTGACTGCTGTCTTGTGTTGCTCAGAACAGGAGGGCCATCGTACAATGGTGCCTGCTGTATCTGAAGTGAAATGGGCACCATAGTGGCAGGGGAGCTGCGTGGGCCAAAAGGAGCCAGGGTTGCTGCTGGCCTTGAGCCACTGAAGATGAGGCAGCGTGTGGCCAGGTGGCCAAGAAGGCTCATGGCATGGTGGCCTGTGTCAGCAGCAGTGGGGCAGCAGGAGCAGGGCAGTGAGCGTGGCCCTGTGCTGGGCAGCGCTGCGGCCACAGCTGCAGTGCTGGGTGCACTTGTGGGCCCCTGGGCAGCAGAAAGTCCTTGAGGGGCTGCAGCGCGTGCACAGAAGGACAGGGGAGCTGGGCAAGGGGGTGCAGCACAAGGCCAGTGAGGAGGTGCTGAGGGAGCTTTAGCCTGGACAATGGGAGGCTCTTGAAGCACCTTGAGGCAGACTTCCATCAATCCCTGCATGACAGTGCTCAGCACAAGGGCTGTTTCTCTGCCAAACATGCCATCACTGCATCCAAGGGCTTTAGACACTGGAGTAGCTGACACTTCCCATCTTGTGGACTGTGGGTTCTCCTAGGAGGAGAAGGCCCGTTCATTTTCTCTTTTTCCAGCAAGCAAGGATGCTTCTGTGCAAACTTTCCTATGCTTAAAAGTACTGGGAGGGATTCTGAACCCTTTCTGGTTTTCTATGTCTGCTGCAGCAGTAGCAAAGGCCTTGCTGGCTCTTTCCTACTTTTCCATTTCAGAGCTTTCAAGAACCAAAAGCTGCCTTTTGCAGAGACAACCTTGCTTGCAAATGGCAGCCAGGGAGGAATATCGAATTCATAGCCTTATACTTTTCTGTTGAATGTGCCCATTTCAGTCTGGTTGGAGTGACTTTGAATGCCATTGCTAACAAAGTTGATGATTTCTCCTAAGAAGATGTGGCTGTTGATACGAAGAGAAATGGGGTTATAAGCGTTAGGTAACAGCCTGTCCCTATGATTCTCTCTTTGCCACAGGTGAGAAGAGCAAGAGCCATCTTTCCCCTGGCTCTCTCTCCTATTGCAGAAGAAGCCAGAGAGGAGGAAAATGAGAAAGATGACCACCGCCTTTGTCCAGCCGTGGTCACACCAGAACGTCCTCATCATTCCAAGAGAGTAAGTGCCCGTTGTGGGAGGCGCCATCTTTAGTGCAAGGCAGAGGTGCAACTTTCTGAGCTGCCAGCACTTGCTGTGTCTGGCCCAGGATGCTGAGTGCTGGAGTCCTGCAGGACGTAGCCGTTTCCTGCAGGCAGTGAGAGCTAGAAATTGGCCTTTGACCTGTCCTGTTGGGCCAGTGTTAAACTCGCAGCTCCGGCGGAGCTTCTGGCTGCTTGGCTCAGGGAAGCTCCATCTCTGGGCTTCTGCGGTGTTATGGCCAAGGGCTCACGTGGTAGTGCTGGAGGTCAAAAGGCTTTGTTGCTTGCTTTTCCCTTTTTGGAAAGTTGTGTTTGGCTTGTGGAAGTGTTCTGCAGTTTTCTTGAGTCGTTCTTCACTTGTAAAATCACTGCTGGCCCAACTGCCTTTTGGCTTTTGAGAAGGTGCAAACAGCAGAAGGGGCAAGTTTCTGCTGATCCGTTTAGTGGTGAAGTCTGCAGCTTTGGCAAGTGCATTGGAGCACAGAGTGGGGGTGAAGCTGCAAGTCCTTGACTGCTGTCTTGTGTTGCTCAGAACAGGAAGGCCATCGTACAATGGTGCCTGCTGTATCTGAAGTGAAATGAGCACCTTTGTGGCTGGGGAGCTACATGGGCCAAAAGGAGCCAGGGTTGCTGCTGGCCTTGATCAGCTGAAGATGAGGCAGCGTGTGGCCAGGTGGCCAAGAAGGCCCAGGGCATGGTGGCCTGTGTCAGCAGCAGTGGGGCAGCAGGAGCAGGGCAGTGAGCGTGGCCCTGTGCTGGGCAGCGCTGCGGCCACAGCTGCAGTGCTGGGTGCACTTGTGGGCCCCTGGGCAGCAGAAAGTCCTTGAGGGGCTGCAGCGTGTGCACAGAAGGACAGGGGAGCTGGGCAAGGGGGTGCAGCACAAGGCCAGTGAGGAGGTGCTGAGGGAGCTTTAGCCTGGACAATGGGAGGATCATGAGGGAGCTTCAGGCAGACTTCCATAGATCCCTGCCTTAGATCCATAGATCCAATGCTCAGCCCAAGGGCTGTTTCTCTGCCAAACATCCCCTCAGTGCATCCAGGTGCTTTAGACACTGGAGTGGGTAACACTTTCATATTTTGTTTGTTTGTTTGCTTGTTTGCTAGAAGGAGAAGCCTTGTGTAATTTCTCCTTCTCCAGGGAGCAAGGGAGCTTTTTCTCAATGTTTCCGGCCCTTTTCCAGCACTGGCAGAAATTCTGCTAGAATTTTTGTTTGCAAGGAGGCAGTTCTGGAAGATGCAGGATTTTTGCACAAGAACACATAGTTTGGGGCACAGATGGTGGTGCAGAAGGAGCTGTTCTGGTGCTAGACCAGCCAGTAGGGATTGCACATCACTTTCAGGTTTATGGCTCCCATGTCTTTTGGCAGCCCAGGGAATTGAACAGCCCAGGGAATTTGTGTTTGGGAATTGAACAGGAAATCAATGCCCTTGCATTCCACCTTGTCCTCAGAGATTAGAGGAGCCGGGAGGGGCTGGGCTGCATTTCTTAGTCCAGCCACTTTAGCACCATCAACATGGTCAAGTACAAGAGAAGAACTTGCCGGAGTGCACATGCACAAAGAGTGCAGTTCCCAGTGCAATGCTTTGGGTCTGATTGCATTCCCTAAGGACCCACATGCTCCAGATTCCCCAACAGTGTGGGTTACTGAAGCAACAGGAGATCAAGTTCAGGATGGCTGCTGATCGGGGCAGTGCTACCAAATGTTGGTGTGTGTAGCGACAGAAAGGACAGTATTGATTCAGGGTTACCCCCATGTGGCGAATAATGTGCGTTGACTCTATGATTTAGAAGCTTAAACAAATGCTTTCTTAAGCTGTGTTATATTACACTAGTACTTTATTAAAACTATACTAAAGAGATACTATACTAAAAAGATACTAAAGAAAAACTCGTGACTGTCTCCAGATAGTCACGACACAGCTTTTATCTAATTAGCTAATCAAGCTAAACAACTATGACTAAAATCCAATTTACAAATCACTTTCAGTAAAAAATCACTATAACACATTCTACATGTACTAAACAACAGGAACATCAAGTAGAGGTAATAATTGTTTTCTCTAAGTTTCTCACTACCTTCCCATAAAAAAACCTAGGAGAGAGAATTATATCTCACTCTCTTAAGAAAATGTAAATACCACAGCACATATAAAAGTGAGATCTGTCTATCTATCTATCTATTTGAATCTTCCTGACTCTGCTCCAAAGCAGTGGAAGATGCAAAGCTCACCTAAAGGCATCCCTTCAGGAGAGGAGTAGAGACAAGTTCCATTGACTGATCCTGAGAAGGCAGAGATGTTTGCCCCTCCAGAGATGGTTGTTTTTTCCCCTCATGTTTTCCTACTCCAGCCTTTTCTGACCTGAAGCCTTCTTTTTATCCTTTAAATTTTTGCATGTCCTAAGGGAGTGGAACTATCCCATGCTGTAGTTGGGGTCTGGTGTCTTTGCTCATACGTGCCATACATGACACATGGTTTCCTTCACTGGCATCCCCAGGGCTGTGTAAGTGCATTTGTTAATGGGGCCTTACGAGAAACTCTGTTAGGGCTGGTCAGAATTCTCAGTTGACAAAAGAGGGAGAAGAAACATCTTGGTCCTCCTCCATATACTGAGATGGCCATAGAGGTTCTCTGACTTCCATCAGAGATCTTTGCATGCATCCTTATCTCCTAAATGACATGGTTTTCTAACAAGAGTGTAGATGTCAGGAAGGAGGAATGCTGGTGCAGGCCTGAAGAGAACATGAACTCCAGAAGTGTCTTTCACAAGGGCTGAGCTCACCCAGGAAGCCACCTGCAGAGCCAGGATGGAGCTGTGGGACAGGGTGGGGTGTCAGTCACTACTGAAAGACAAACAGGACATGGCAGAAGCAGAGGGAGGCCCTCAGCAGACCCTTGGGAAATGCCACACCTTCCCTGTCAGCTGCCTGAGAGGCTGTTGGAGCTTCAGTCCCAGATGGCCCCTGATTGTAGGGCCAAGGTCACTTTGGAATCTGTGCCTCTCCTCAAACAGAGAATGACCCAGCAGAGCAGCAGCACAGTGCTTTGGGAACGTGTGAGCCCAGCAGTCTTTGAGTCTTGGCCCACAAAGGTTGTATGGGAAGTTGGAACCCATCTTCTCTTGCTTTCTGTGCAGGTGCTCCTAGAGAGAGAGCAGGAGCAGATTGCTTCATCAGAGATGCCATGGCAGACTCAGGGAGAGCTGTTCCCAGGCCGAGAGCAGGAAGAGCAGCTCAGGCAGCAGGTGGAAGAGCCACAGGAGAATGGCCAGGTAAGCCTGACTGGCCAGGGGACAGAGGGAAGGGCAGGGAGAGGGGCATAAACCAGAGCTCTTGGGACTGAGGAGGCCAGGAAGTCCCACAGGCACTGAAAGGACAGAGCCTTGGAATTTGCAGAGATCAGCACCAGGACAGGATGGTTACAGTGGAAACAGAGCTGGGTAGGGAAGCAGAAAGAAGGGGCTGAATAAATGTGATTTTGAGGCTAAAAGAGGGAAAAGCTTAGCTTGATGGCAGCTCCCAGTCACTTGCTCTGTATTTGTGTGTACAGAACATCAAGGCAGAGCCACAAGCAGAGCTGCCTGAAGCTCAGAGTGACATGGCAGTGAAGAAGAGGAATGAAGACATCCAAGAGGAGAAGAATCTCCCTATGCAGAGGGGCAATCAACAAAAACAGGTGAATGAAAGAATGGCAGCCACTCCACTCATGAAACAGAGTCCTTTCCGTTGTTCTTTACAGAACATTGATGAACAGATGCAGGCACAGCTACAGGAAACTGAGGCTAGGATCAAGGCAAGGGAGAAGAGGCCAGATGAAAAAATTCAAATCATCAAAGAGAAAATTAATCGCCTCCTTCAGGAACAAAAGGCTCTAGAAAAGCAAGTGAGTGAAATAGCAATAGCCACTGCAGTCACCCAAGGGGTGGTTTCTGCCCTCCTTGCCTTTGCAGTGCAGAGCAGCAGGGGGGTGGGGTGATGCCTCTGAGTGCCATCCTGATGAGGCCTCTATCAGAGCTGCTCTGAAGGACACTTCCTGGTCTGCTGAATCTCAGCTGATGCTCTAGACAGAGGCACTACTCCTTTGGCCATTTAGCCAGCAGTCATCCGAATGAACTCCTGCTGGCTTCTTCAGGTGACCTTGTTTCTTGAGGTGTTTTTGCAGGTGAACATGGTCACTCACATAGATTTGGAATACAAGCTACAAGCTGTCTGTATCCCTTGTGAATCTGCTCCCGTCCTTTTCTTTACTTTCTTCCCTTCTTTGATGACCCCTGGCTGACGGGGACAAGCTGTAGTCTCTGACTGCTTTGTTCTGTTTGACTTGAGGTGGAAGTGTCGCCATCCTACCTGGCAGCCTGCAGAGAGTTCCAGCAAATGACGGGCAACCAAGAGCCTCGAGGCTGGCATGAGGCCCAGGAACTGAACCATCCAGAGATGCTGCAGGATAAGCACGTCCCGAGGAAGGTGCAGAAAAAGAGAATTTCATGGCAGGAGGTAGAACATTAGAATGAGGAGCTGCAAATGTATCTGCAGACCTAGGAGGGGGGAAAGGAGACCTTGGGAGGAAGTGGAGCAGTCGTTGCTGCAGTCATCCTTTAGAACAAGAAACTGGCTATGAATTTGAGTAAAACCAGCCCTTTGGTTTGACCATTTGGTTTCACAAGTGGACATCCAAAGCAATCCAGTTGAAGAGCTCTGCATGTGGCTGACAGCAGCTTCCTAAGGGCTTGCATTTCAAATGGCAATCTCTCTTGCATTTCAGTGCAATCTCTGCCACACCTTCCTGACATAAACTCATTTCTTGTCTCAGATCCACACCGACTCTGACACTGAAGCTGCTGCTGCAGCAGCAGCAGCGCCGTCCCAAGGAGCCTTTGCTCCCCAGCTGAAGAAGTGGAGCCTGAGCACTTGGTTCACCTCCCGTGCTGACCCTGCTGCTGCTCAGCAACAGGAGATGGCAGGTGACTCCCTGGGGCAACAGAGTATGTCTGGTATCTTTCTTACCTGAGGGACAGTGTATTGTGTACATGTGTCAGCATAGCTGTACCAAGGAGTTCTCCTCAGTTTAGTGTCACAGAAGTGCTGGTATTGCTCTGAGGCAGCAAGAGAGAGCTCTGGGAGTTCCTGCTGCCTCTGAGGGCAGCTTAAGACTGGCTGGAGTTTGCCTGGGTTTCCCTCTCTGCCGAAGGCAGAAGCAGGGATTGTTCCTGGATCAGCAGAAGGCTGTGACTGCTTGAGTCCTAGCCACTGGCAGAAGCCCTGCTGAGATCACATCACAGGAGAACACATCAAGCCCTTTGTGATTCTGCAGCACAACCCAATGAATCTGCTTCTTGCCCGGAACAGCTGCCAGTGCTGTGCTCTCAGATAAGACCTGGTGGGGCTGAGACCAGAGCCCAGTGGATTCTGTGTCTACCATCACCTGTTGGGACCAAAAGGGCACTGATCTGTGCCTCGGTGGGGCTGATCTCAAAGCCCATCCTGTTGTGTCCTGAATGGGGGCAACAGCTTGTACAGGGCTCAGGCTCACTCTTGCTTCTTCCCACTGCTTGCCAGTGCTCATGCTTGGGCTTTGCCAGCCTTGTTGTAGTCACTGCCCTGCCCCTGAGGGCTGGAGGGACTGCAGAGGCTGGAGCCTTCCTTAGCTGGGAGGGTCCCGCTGCTGCCCGGCTGCTGCAGCGCGGAGCTGCCTGAGGCAGCAGCCCCTTCTCTGGGCCGGCTTCTGCATCGCACAGCCTGGACTCACAAGAGGGTCAGCATCTCCTCTGGGCAGCTTTCTGTGTCACAGGGGCACCTGAGGAGCACTGCTGTCCTCTCTGCCTGTGCCCGCCTTGCCGAGTTGGGAAGGTGGGGATGCGTGCGGTGCCGAGAGGGCGAGTGCAATGGGAGCGACTGATCCGCGCTGTCAGGGTGAAGAGAAGCGGCGTGGTTCTTCACACGGGGCACAGGCAAGGGCGTCTTTGAGCTCAGCCTGCTCATAAAGGGTGAGGGTCCTGATGCTGAAAGCCCCATCAGGATTGGTTCTAGCATGAGCTGCTCTGGTTTACAAACACAGAGGCATTCTTCTGGCAAACTGCTGCAAGGTGGAAAAGATGGGAACACTTGGCAATATTCCTCCTGTTCTGAACTTGACATCTGTTCAGAGGAATTGATTCTAGATGTCCAGGTGCATTTAATCTTAGCAAGTAGGAAACCTTTTATAAATCTCACAGTGTTTATTCCCAAGAAAACAAAGGCACTGTTAGTTCCAGCTCTCCTTAATGTTTCTAGATGACAAACTTACTTGCCTTGGTAGGTATTCCCTTCTGGTCTCAGTCTCCTCTGAATGTATCTCCCTGTGCTTCCCTGTGTGTCTCTGTCAAGAGGTCTCTCACTTCAAAGGATGCTAGAAATCAGTCTCTGTGCCAGCCACTTGTGCTGTGGACCTGCTGTTCTTTTCTTGTTGTTCCAGTTCCAGTTCCTGTTCCTGTTGTTGTTAGCCAGCTGTCCACAAAGGGAGGCCTCAGAGCCCCAGACAGTGGGGCTGCCTTTTGTATCTCCTAGAAGGTGGGATCTCTGCTTTAAAGTCAACATCTTGCATTTTGTTTCCCTCAGGGAGAATGGTGAAGATGGAAAATCCTATTATAAAATACATTGAACTGGAAAATATTGGCAGTGGGTGAGTCCAAGCAATGTTAATTCTAAAAAACTATGCATCAGGTGTTTTGCTGGTGGAATAGGTATCAAGTATTAAGTCAGACAAAGTGCAAATATGTTCAGGCACTGGGCTTAGATTGTCAGTGCTGATCAGAATTTCTAAGTGTGCTCAGAAGGCATTGTCAAAGACATCCCCATGCTTCCAGTGTCCTGCAGGTCTTAGACATTTACAGCACAGATCTCCTGTGTGGGCTGGCTTTCACTGCAAGATCTAAATGGCTTCTCCTTTCTTTGCTTCTGTTTTGTTTCTAGGACTTTTGGAGATGTTTGTAAAGCACTTGACACTGCCACAGGAGGAGAGGTAAATGTCAACAGCACCTGTAGATTGCTGCACTCAAGGGCTTTCCCCTCTGGTGTGAGCTGTGGCTGGAGCTTTGGGCAGAGCTGTGCTGAGAAGGCACAAGAAGCACAGACTGGTGCCAGCCTGCAAAATACATTTGGGACTTTGTCCTCCTCAGCTGCCGGAAGGAAGGCACGGAGGGCAGCGGTTCCTTTCAGAGAAGGACGCGCTCGCTCGCTCTCCATTGCTAAAACAAAGGTGGTGCCTTCGAGCACCTCACTGCTCTTTGGGGCTACAGCTTCAGAGTCTTGGATCCTCATTTCTGGTTGCCAGCAAATACATCTGAAAGTTCCTGGTAGTTCCTTAGCCACCTGCAGTGCTGCACTTGGGAACTGCACATGGGGAGAGATCTGCAAGGTGTCCCTAAAAGCCCTAAGCCCTGCCCATAGGCCAAGATGTATCCACCGAGTATTAAGGCATGGATTACTTCTTCTGAATCCCATCCAAAGCAGCAGAGAGTGTGGTCAGAGGTTTGTGGGTGATAGCTGAGACACCACTGTTACCAAGTGGTCAAGGCAAAATGTCAGTGGCCCCACGTGTGCTGTAACTGGCCCCCAAGGGAGCAGAGAAATGGGCTGTTGGAATGTCAGTTCCTCATGACTGCAGTGCCTCATCACAAGGCAGTTTGGCACAGCTCAGCTGTGTCATTGCAAAATCACTTGCTCCATGTGAGAAATTGTTCTCATGCCACCAGCTTTTAATGTTACTGATTTTCAACATCATTTTAGGTGGCCATAAAGAAAATAAATCTTCAAGGGCTGATCAGAAAGGAAGGAACCTTTAATGAACTCATGGTCATGAAAATTAATAAGCACCAAAACATTGTGAATTATTTAAAGAGGTGAGTGGTTGTTATTTTATCCCAGCAATGTTTGTTTACATGCTGCAAGCATGCAAAATTAAAAACCCACTTTGGTCACTGGCAGAAAATAGAGCTGATAATTATTGGTTAATTATTATTTCTCTACTTATTGCCAATGGGTGGGAAGAGAGTGCATTTTGTCTGCATTAATCCACCCTGACAAATGCAGTTTGAAAATTTTTCAAAAACCTGGATCAGCCCTATTTTACTAATTCAATACCCTCAAAGTTCACTGCCTCCACATTGTTTTGAGGCTTGATTTTTTCAAATTTTTCTCAGCATCTTTTAAGTTCTGATAAACCATCCTAGCGAGGTTTTCCCTTGGATTGTTGTGCCTTTTCCATTACTGTGTATGCCAGGATGAATAGGTGTTTATTTCCAGAAATACCATGCCTGACAGGTTTTTTATCTGGGCTGTTACTAAACTGCACTTTTCACTTCCTGCCCATCTAAGACATCTCCTTTTTCACAGCTGTGCCTTTCTCCTTGAAACTGCACAGATTGCAAACAATGCACAGCCAAGAGGGAATGTCTATTCCTTTTATTCTGTCCTCGTCACAAAGGCATCCAGAAACAAGCATTGCTGTTTCCAAACTGCAACCTAGCCATGCATGTTCATCTCCACATCCTTGTTTCCTTCTTTCAGCTACCTTGTGGAGAGGCAGCTCTGGCTGATTATGGAGTACATGGACGGAGGCACTCTGAGCGATGTCATCAACGAGACTCACGTGTCTGAAGGAGAGATTGCAACCATCAGTCGGGAGGTCAGGGATCCCACCTGTGCTTCAGAGGGCTTGGGCGGCATTGTCTGGGAACAGGGGTTCAGATCAGGAGGGATTTCCTGTGCCAAGCTTTGTTTCTGTGTGGCTTGTATGCTATGGGCAAGCAAAAGCACCTCAAGTGAAAGGCCTGCCAGTGCCCCTGCACTCCCTGTACTCAGTGCCAGTACTCTTATCTCCTGCTGTTGTACTCTCACTCTGTCTTTTGTATTTGCTGTTCTCCATCTTGCCTTGCTAAACTTTTGCCTGTCTTCACTGCATTCCTTGCCTGTGAAAGCAAAGGTGCTGGTGGCAGGATTTGAAATGATCAGCAAAGAAAGAGACTCATTTCTCACAGTTTTTAACTGAAACGGACAGTACTCAGACAAAACAGTGTTTGCTTCAGGAAGGTGACTGGTGTGATACTTCCAAGTCTGTGCTGATGCCAGCAAGAAAACCTTTGTCATGCAGCCTCCCACCCAAAAGTGATCTGCTTCATACCAGAGACAGGGACTTTTTCTTTCTTGGCAAACCCTTGTTTGGAGAGAGCACATCCACTGCAGCAGGAGTTATCCTGGCTGGTTTGCAGGGGACAGCCTACAACAGCAGGTGCTGTTGCTCTTTCAAAAGCTGACATGCCTTTCCTCAGAAAGGACCTGCTCTGCAAGTGTTGGAGCAGCAAGCTCTTCCTCTCGGTGGCACTGTGTTCTGCCATTACTCCCCATTCCCCTGGAGAGGGAATCTTTTAGATTCTTTGTTTCCTTTCTGGTGTGATGAAATCCCATCACTCATTTTTGCCCTCCTGTTTCTGTTTTCTCTCTCAGTGCCTGCAAGGACTTGATTTTCTTCACTTGAACGATGTGATCCACCGAGATCTGAAGAGCTGCAACATCCTTCTCAAAATCGACGGCTCTGTCAAGCTGGGTCAGTATATTCTTGGTCAGGTGCAGCATTCCAGGGATGTGGGTGTGGGGCTGCTTGGAGTGACAGCCAGCTCCCCAAAAATGGTGCTGGTGGCAGTGCAGGGACACCCACTGTGAGCTGAGGGCACAGTTGCAACGTGCACAGAGGTAGGACAAGGAACCACAAGAAGTCAAGAGTGGTGTTGGTCTGTGTGTGTCCCCTTCCAGAGGAAGCTAAAGCTTCTAAAGCTTCTGGAAAATAAAGGCCACTGCTGGAGGTAGTGTAAAAAATGAGGGTTTTTTTGGAAGTGGCCAATTCCATATTTTCTTGGCTAAAACCCTGAAGAAATAGAGCAGGGACTGATTTTCAACAGATGACACAGTGCATTCTTAGACTGAGAGTAGGGAATTCTTTTGCTTGGTTTCCTAATTGGAGCTGGCTTTCATGGTTTGTTGTTTTCTCCACAGCTGACTTTGACCTCTTCACTCAGCTCACCCCTGAGCAGGGCAGATGGAGCTCCATGGCCCGCACTTCTGGGTGGCTGGCGCCTGAAGTGGTGACAGGTCAACCATATGGCCCCAAAGTGGACATATGGTCTTTGGGAATCCTGGGCATCGAAATGGTGGAACAAGAAGTTCCTTACTGGAATGCAACTCCTGTCTTGGTAAGGTGCAAATACTCACTGATCCCACTGTCTTTCTCACCTGTCCCATGTTCTGTGTGCCCATTGGACAAAATCCCATTGCAATCTGCTGGCACCACTTCCACCAAGATCCCCTCCTAAAAATGTCCCTGTAGTAGCACATCAGCATCTGCTCTAGATTTGGTTGCATCAGAAGGAAAGTGGCAGTTCAGAAACCTAACCAGTTCAGAAACCTGCCATTTTGGCCTCCAGCCATGCTTGACATTTCTCATTTGCTTTTTGAACCCTGATGGAGCTCTGTCTCTGAAGGACAGGAATTTTTCAGTGGAATGGTTGGATGTGTGGTAAGTATCTCTCAAAGTGGACATTGAGTCTTCCCAGTTTCAGTTTTATAGAAAAAGAAAAAGCGAAAAAGAAACAACCAGCAAAGCAATGCCCAACTAGTTCTACTTTCTGTTTCTTTTTGAACCACAGCACATCAATCTTCCTCCATACTGTAGCATCTTTTCCAAATCCTGTGGGTCTTATAAACTTTCAGGTTTTCAAGTCATCTGTACACTGTTCAGTCATGTGTCTGGATGGCCTGGATAAGTTCAGGATGTGTTTTTCTCCGACTGCAGTTAGAATTGAATGCGAAACTCTTGGTTGTTTCTTGGTACTTTAACAAGTTGATGAGCTTGCAGGCAGGTGCCTGGGCTGGGATCCAACGTGGGCAGTTGACACCGGTGCTGTGTTTCTTTACTACAGGAGCAGGGCCGTCCCTGGCCTGAACAGTTCTAATGATAGTGAGGACTCCAGCTCCCCACCATAGCCAGTGGCTGAGTACAGCTTCAGAGGGACAGGATAAAACCCCCTTTGTGACCTCTGGTGGTGTGGGAAAAGAAAAGAAAGCTGCCATAATTATTCATACTCAAGGGGAGTGTGTTTGTTGTTTTAGGCTTGGAAATTTTCCTCTGGGTTGAAGAGGATAATAATAAAGCCTCTTTGGTCACCATCTATTTCAGTGCCACCAGCACAGAGCTGTTAGTATTGTGATGGGCACTATTATGGAGACCAGGCCGCAGCCTGGGGTCATGGAGATCCTGCCAAACCTCCCATTTCTTACCCGACACTTTCTGCGATGGGCACACCTTTAATGCATTGACTTGAGTATCCAAATGAGCAGAGGGTGACCATAGGGATGACAGTTCTTCTTCTGATTTGACCCTGAAAAGGTTTCCTTTTGTCACATAAAGAAGCTAAAACTTGGAGACGAGAGACAGAGCTGCAGGTGGCACCTGTGTACCCAAGCAGGCATTTTCACCTCAATATATTTGTGCATGCATCTTAATGTGTCTGTGTTGAAGATGAGATTCCAAATGTTTGTTTCCTTACCTGAGGAATACCTGGTGGATTTCCTTTCTTTCCTTCAATTACCACTGTTTTCTAGAAGAGGACAAGAAGCTCAATGAGTTTTGTTTTATGGCAGCTGTGCTTAAGGGACCAACAAGCACTGCAGAGATACTTTTTATGTACTAATCTTTGGAAATAGTAGAGTTAGTATAGCAAAGTCCCTCTTCCAAAAAGCCTCTCAAGCTGGTGTGAATCCTCAGGGAAGGAAATGTGCTTTTGGTGATGTGGTTCCCACTAACTAGGTCAGTCAATGAAATCAGCTGCCAAGGCAAGATCTATGGGGTGTTGGAAAAGCTGTGGCTGCATCGGGGTTTGGGTTTTTGGTTGGTAAAGGAAAGTCTTCTCTGGGTCTCTGCCAGGGCAGAAAGTGCTGCTGCAGAGTGGAGCTTAACCAATGGGATCTGGGAGAGCAGTTACAGATGGGAAAGAAGCAGGTGGAGTCTCATGTTTCCTTTTTCCCCAGCCTCAACTCCTGATCGCCATACGAGGGACCCCAAAGCTGCAGCAGCCCAACCTATTTTCACCTTGCCTGCGTGACTTCCTGAGCTGCTGCCTGCAGACAGACGAGGAGCGGCGCTGGTCTGCCAAGGAGCTCCTGCAGGTAAAATGTGAAGGGGCTGCAGGTGAAACAGGCTCTGAGGGATGGGCTCCTCCTCCACTCAAGTCCAAGGCATCAGATGAGCCCCCTTCCTCCTCACCTCCACTCTTGGTGCTCTTCAAATGAAAAGGAATTCAAATGAATCCTAGACTGGGCTGGGCTGGCAGGGTCCTGTAAAGGTCCTGTGGTGCAAGTGTGCTGCAATGAGCAGGGACATCTTTAAAGAGATCAGGTTGCTCAGAGCCCCTTCCCACCTGCCCTGGAATGGTTGCCCCATCCCTGCCCAGGGATGGGGCACCGACCAGCTCTAAGGGCAACCTGTGCCAGGGTTGCACCATGCTCCAAGTAAATGAGATCTTAGACCTAATCTGACTCAATCCCCATGATATATTATAAATACTATCCCATGTCCTATTGCAACTGACCCTGTTAAAAAAGGTGTCTCTTACTTCCTGAGAATTCCCTTTGAAATACTGGAACATAGCAATGAAGTCTCCCTGGGGCCTGTTCTCCTCTAGGCTGAATAACTCCAGGTCTCTCAGTCTGTCCTCAGAGGAGAGGTTCTCTGTCCTCTGACTGTTCCTGTCACCCTCTTTTGTAATTTGGTGGGGTGTTCAGTTTTATCTAATGGCAAAAGAATGGAGGTAGAGCAATGCAGGGTACAGAGACATGAAATGGTGGTGGAGGAACCCAAGGAAGCCAGTCCCAGCTGAGCAGTCAGAGATTTGGCTGTGGGCAGGAGGGGCTGTGGGGGGCTCACTGGGAGCCTCTGAGGGGCCCTGGTTTGTGCCCCCCAGCCCACCCTTAGAGGTTTCTGCCACACAAACAGGGACAGCTGGGAGGGACTTGTCCCAGCCCCATCTGCTGCCTGGCATGCCCAAGCAGACGGGAACTGTGCCAGGGTTACTGCCAGGTTGTGTGGCAGAGAGGGAACTGCAGGGCCCAGTGCCACTGGGCTGGCCCTGCTGGGAAGGAGGGTGCCATCCAGCACACGAGGGGCAGGGCATGGAAAGGCAGACACTGCTCTGTCTCCCTGTGGGAATCAGCACAGTGCCTGTCTTGCAAAGACAGGGACCTATGTGAGTCATTGGAGTTTCCTGAAAAGAAGAAACTCCAAGGACAGAAAGCACCATTTCTACAGCACTGGCAGGGCAAAAATCTCAGCAAGATGAAGACACCTGGATAAATGGATGAGTGGGATTCTGGGCCAGGTTTGCCTGTGATGGCAAAGTCCTGCACATAAAGATGGAGCTGTAGATGGTCCCATTGGTCCTCTTCCCGCATCCTTCTAGAAGCCAGAGGAATCCTGTGAAGCACTGAGCTTGGAAAGTCATGGTTCCTTGGTTTTTGTTGATTTGGTTTCTTTCCCTTTGGGCAGCATCCATTTGTAAGATTTGCTGAGCCTGCGTCCAGCCTGGTGCCACTGATTGTTTCAGTGAAGAAGAGGAAGGAGACAAGAATGTGACAATCACATCAGGATCATTTATTCCTCAATCTTCTTAGAGTAGGATTGTAGGTTAGGATTAGGATTAGGATTAGGATTAGGATTGTAGGTTAGGACTAGGACTGGGATTAGGATTAGGATTAGGACTGGGATTAGGATTAGGATTAGGATTAGGATTAGGATTAGGACTGGGATTAGGATTAGGATTAGGGTTAGGATTAGGATTAGGATTAGAGTAGGATTGTCTAATAGGACTGCAGAGTAGGATTGGAAATTAATAAAGTTTCTGAAACCACAACTTGCCTTGAAGATTCCCTTCCTTCTCACTCTGCAAATAAACTCGAGAATTCCATCTGAATTGTCTGTTGTTTCTTAAAGGTGGAAAGTGACACAGTGTCTTTGGCATGGTGTGAGAGTGGGGAAGGATCTTCTCCATTCATCCTCTCCAGACCACACTGCCTTTGGAATATAGTGCGCTGGTCTGTTTTTGGACAGCTTTGGTACTTCTATTTGAGGCAGAAAGGGCAATGGCATTTGAAAGCAAAACCAAAGGAGGAATGAGGCAGGCCAAACATCTTGTGCAGATGCAGGCATTCAGCTGTGGCTTGGGAGCATTGGGGTTCCTGCCACTTGGATTTGGATCCCTAGGTGCAATGTCTTTGTCTGGAGGAGAGCCTTGCTCAAGTGAGAAAGCAGAAAGATCAGAGAGGGTGCTCGGCAAGATCTCCTGAGGTGCAGAGCTGTGAGCGCCTGTGAGGTGAGAGCAGGCCCGGCCTTGGCCGGGCTGGAGCCCCAGCAGAGCCCTGGCAGAGGCGGGAGCAGGCTGAGCCCCGGCAGAGGCAGGCTGGAAGGAGGCCCTTGGAGCTGCAAGAGGCAGCAGCCAGGCCCTGGGTGCCTGTTCCTGGGAGCGGGCGAATCCTGCGCTCTCAGAGCCCAGGTGGCAGCTGGCTGCTGCCGAGGGGAAGCGCAGCCGTGCTGGGCACAGCCCGGCCTGGAGGCATTGGCCGTCTGGAGTGTGCCCAGGAGCAGAGAAAGGCCAAGGGCAGCCGAGGGCCGCTGGGCTGGCTGAGGATTCCTCCTCTTCTGCCGGCTGCCCTGCAACTCCTGGCCAAGGTCAGCAGTGTGTGCAGCACTCTGGGCACCGGGGCAGGGAGCAGGGCTGCTCGGCAGGCTGGAGCACAGGGCAGCCTCCTTCAGGCCCGGCACTTCTGCCAGGGGAAGCGAGGCCAGCGTGAGGCAGGGACAGCTTGGCAGGGCACGTCTGCAGGAGCCAGCGCCTCACACAGCTCTGGCAGGAAGCACCTGCAATCCTGCAGCTCTGCACTCAGCCAGAGCAAAGGTGTGAGATGCAGAGTGTTTGGCAGAAATATTCAGGCCCACCAGGCCAGCCTGCTTTGTGCTCTCTGGCACACAGCAAGCGCTGTGCAATGCTGCTCTGAGCTGCTGGGAGAGAGGCAGTCGGGGATGTGCCTCAGGCTTGTGCTTGAGGAGTGAACTGATTTGGAAGGGAGGAGAATAATTTCAGTAGGCAATCTGTGTTTTCTTTATTCCTTTCTGAAAAACAGATACAATGTGGCTTCATTAAGCAAAAGCACAGCTTTTTTTTTTTTTTTTCCTGCATTTTAGTATGACAATCCAGGCAAGCCCTTCAAAACTGCAACTGAAGCATTTCCCACCCAGTGAGCAAAAAAAAACCCCAAACCCCCCTCCCCCCATCTTTCTATTGTAGATCTTGACATTTTGGGCTGGTCCTGCAAAGGATGAAGCTGCCTTTAAGGTCTGAAGCACCTTCTTGTCTTGCCAGCAAGGACACAGATGCTTGAGCAGTTCTGGAATCAGGCTATGAGTTTGTTTGCTTTTGGCTTCTTGTATTGTTGCAGCCCCTCTGTGCAAATAACCCTGCGAGCTGACTGAGCCTTGCTCACTCTGTCCCTGCCAGTGTCTCGGCAGAGGCAGCAGATGGAAGTCTCTTCTGCTGGAAAGGGAACCTATTTGCAATGGTGTAGTGATCCCAAAGTCCATACAGTACCACACCAAAGGATTAGGCCCTTCACTCTTCAAAAGCCTGTTACTGATCCTGCCTAAGGTGGTTCGACTGAGTATCAGCCAAGACTCACACCTCTATTGCAGGGCTGTTCTTCTCAGTAATCATCGCTCAGCTGTCTCTCACTGACATATTGCTGACTGAAGACCTGTCTCTTCCATATCCCCTATGAAAAGACCTTACCTTAGAGTCTCAAATTTAGCATGCATGCGTGTGTGAAAAAAACCCCACAAACCTTTAGGAAAATCATGGCATAAAAGCAGATTCCATTGATCAAATCCACAGCAACTGCATTAAAATGTGGGTCTATGAGCCTTTCTTCAAAATTTTCTTAATCATAGCTCTAGAGTAATTTTTGAGAGATAAGTATGCTGCCCCTAACAAGCCCAGATGACTTAGCAAGGGGTAATTAGTCATCCATTAAGCATTCCAGCAGTTGCATAGCATTTTATTCTGATAACTGATCCCTGGATATTGCAACCAGCTTGTGATTTGTGTCTGCCCACTTCTTTTCCATGTTCTGAGCCAAGAGCAATAGTATCCTTGTGAGTGCACCTGAACACATTTGACAGTGACACCTCATCCTATTGCCTATATTCTCCCACGGAAGATTCCTTGCTCTTTTTTCTCTGCCACCAATGGGGATCTGCAGTCCCTGCCCGGCACTGCTCCTTGTGGCTTGTCAAGGCAGAGGCGATGCTCTGGTGCACCTGGCGCAGGTGAGCCTCGGGCCCGGGCAGGGACCGATGCTCCGAGCTGCCGCGGATACGGCGGCGAAGGCGAGCGGTGCCGAGGCCTCGCTGGGAAGCCAAGCGGCGCCCGTGGCGCTGCCTCCCCGGGCAGGGCTGTGCTCTCAGCGCCGCCGGGGCTGCCGAGCAGCGCTTTCCACGCGCCTGCGGCTCCGGAGCCAGCCCCGCAGCCGCGCTCTCCCGAACCGCACTGACCCGCGCCCATTCTCGGCCCGGCTGCAGGACTCCCTGATTCCGGGCTCTCCGGCTTCCCGGTCCGCCTGCAGGAGCCTCCTCTCCCGAACTCCCGCCGCTGGGCTCGCTTCTCCCATGTCTTTCCCCTCTTTCCCTGTCCCTCTCCACTCTACTCCGGATCTCCCCCCTGTTCTCAGGTTCTCCCCCATCTCCTGGGTTCTCCCTCCTCTCTCGGGTTTTCCCCAGTCCCGAGCTACCCCTTGTCCCAAGCTCCTCCCTTTCCCAGGCTGTAGCCAGTGCTTTTATTCGTCTCCCTGGATCTGCCCTTCTCCCGATTACTCCTCCCTCTTCCAGGATCTCCCCCCTCTCCCAAGTCTCTCTCCTCTTTCTCCGGCTCTACCCTCTTGGAAGGCAACCCACCCTTTCTCAGGGATCTCATCCCCCCCTCTCCCGTGATCTCCCCTACTCCCAGGCTCATCCCCCTCTCTTGGGATTTTCCCCCTCCTCCCAGCATCTCTCCGCTCTCCTGCTCACTCCTCCCTCTGCCAGGTCTCTCTCCCCTCTGCCGGGATCTCCGCCCATTCCCGGAGTGCCCCATCCCCCGGCCCCTCACCGCCCGTCCCTCACCGCCTCGGCCGGGCCGCTCTGGGGCCGCGCTCGGAGCGCAGCGGGGCCGGGCCGGGGCCGTGTCAGCTCCGCGGTGGGGGCTCCTCCG